GGGCCCCTCTTGGCTGCCCTCGCTCGTACCGTACGTCCGCCTTGGCCGTACACGCGAGGGCCCTGCGAGGCGAGCCCGGGACGGGGCGGCGGGGGGGCCTGGCCCGCCCTGCCTGCAGCCGTGCGGTGAGGGCAGGTGACGGCAGTGTTCTTAGTGGACGTCTGGGCCTTGTCCTCATGCACATTCCTAGGGGGGCCCCCGCTTTTCACTCCAAGCACGAAGTCAGCCTGTAGGTGACACTTCAGGCTGTGATCCCCGCCGCCCCCCAAGAATGCCAGGTCGCACTGCTCACTTTGCTTATTAAGGTAGGATGTGGCCGCATCTCTCAGATTTTCACTGTAGCGACGCTGTGTCCTTGGACGCGGTGGCCGTTAGGGGGCGCTGTGGCCCCACTGTGAACAGCAGCGTCCGGCGCACAAAGGGCCCCTCGGGCTGCAGTTTGCTCTCTGGGAGCCTTTCCGTTCATATTTTGAGCCTTGAAGAGAATGAGCTTTACTGCCTTGGCCCATTATGTCCAGAAGCAAGTAGGAAAAACAGGTGGAGAGAGTAACACGTAGACTCAGTGGTATTCGAGATAACAGCCCCCCCGCACCCCCCCCCCGAATAAGTAGAAGCAAATACTTTCCCTGTTTGGTCAGATTCTTTCCTGGATATTTTTTAATGATCCTAAAGCAGAATGCTTTGACCGAAAAAAGAAAGTGCCAGGTGTGAGAGTGACGGTGGGAGGACGGTTCTGTGACACACGCTGGCCGGCGTGGGTGAAGCTGACTGGGTCCCCTGCCCACAGAGACGCATCAGCTGCTTTCACACCGCACCCCGACACCTGCCGTCCTGTGGAGCCACGGCGCGGACCCCGTGGTGCGCACGGCTCGTCTGACCAGGCCGCCTCGCTGCGACTGAGGACGCAGGAGTCTCCCAGAGGGGTGTTCCAGAAATCTGAGGGACTTTGGAGAGTAAGACAGAGCCATTAGCTTAAACGCTTTCCTCTCTTACTCTTCCTTTGCCTGACACCTCAGAGAAATTCAGTGTGCTCGTTTTGCTTGTGAAGCAAACGGGAAGTCCCTTTTCTTGCCTCTAAAAAGAATTTTAAGGAAGACCTGCTTTAACAGCATGACATCTGCCTTCGTGTGCTCCCGTTGTTGTTATGAACTAAAGAGCCGCCACCGTATTGTAGTCAGTTTGTTAGCAAAAGCGTTGTAACCACGTAGGCAAAGACAGAATGGTGAGTGAGAAGCTGTGAGACAGGGTTCAACCCAGTTTTATGAAAATGGAAGCATCCATTTATGAAGGACTTCAGGTCTGGGGAAGGACTGTAGGACCAGGGCTTCCTGCCCGTGCTTGGAGCCGGCCCTCCGCGGGGCTCTGCTTCTGCTGGGAACGGTGGTGCTGCCCGGGTACCTGTCCAGGGGCTGGATCCTGGGGACAAGGCGGGATGTGAGGCGGGCTGACCCCCAGACCAGCGGTTCTCACAGGGCACGGCCTCACATGGGGGCCGTCTGGTGTGTGCGAGCCTCCAGGTGAGACACATGCTCCCTGCAGCAGGGGAGCCCTGTCCTGCCCTGGGCACCACCTGTTCTCCCGGCCCCTCTGTGTTCAGGTCAGATCTCCGCTGTCCAGGTAGCCTGGCCGCTGTCCCCTTCCTGACCCGTGTCAGTGGGAATTTGGGAGAAGACGAGGTGTGCACATTAACTGCCTTCCACCCTCTGGAACTGAATCTAGTCCCTGTCTCTTGTTTTTCATTTTTTTATGTCATCTTTAAAAATGTTATTTTTCCCTAACAAATAGCCATTGATTGCTGCTTGGGAGATAATTTCACCCTAAATTGTGAGTGTTCAACTGACAAAACTCCACAGAGTAGGAAATGGGGGGTGGGAGAAGTGAACCCCGACCCTGACCCCACCACCCTTGGCTTTCACAGAAGGGCCCCTCTTGGCTGCCGTGTTCTTATATGTAAATTTGTAGTATTAAATGTCCATTTTAATGGGTTAAGGTGTAATTCAACGTGTTTTATTATCTGATTTAATCTTTTCATCCTAGTTTTGTGTGCATGTAGTGAATGAAATGTCAAAACAGGTCACACGCTGGAATGTCTGTCCCTGTTGCTCAGGCCCTGATTTCCCAGGAGCTGTGTAACCAGGCTCTGGGCTTCCTTCCAGAGACCCCAGGTCCACAGAGGTGAGGGTCCTGTGCCCACCCCCGGCTCCTGCCGATGGAGCCAGAACCTAAGGGCCTCACCTGCTCCGCTCCCCTCCTGAGGTCCCCGGAGGGTAGCAACAGACACAGACACTTCCCCTGTCTCCCACCTGCTTTTCCACTGGGGAAGTTGTCCCCTAGGGTGGAAGGCGCGGGCAAGGGAGCACTTCGGGTTAACTGAGCAGCCGACCCTGCCAGGAAATCAGGTCTGGAGGGCTGTCCCTCTGCTCTGCCTCTCCCCGGGGCTGCTGTCCTCTTGTCCCCCGAGGGAGGGGAGCCCCACATGCCCCCACCTCGCCTCTGCTCCCCACTGACTCTGGGGGGCAGGCGAGTGTTGCGGGCTCTCCACCCAGCTGTCACCCCAGGCAGCACAAACACCGCAGCTCCTGACTCCAAGGACGTTTGTGTTCCCTAAACTCCAGGCCAACCTCAGTTAGCTTCTTCAAAGGAGCCTTAATAGAGACGCAGCAAAGCCTGAGAGGAGGTGACCATTCTGATTTCTGAATAAAAATTGCGTTTCATGTTTTGTGACAGTTCTTAAAGAAAAACAGCACCTGTGCTGTCTCAGGGGCTGGCTTTTAGAGGCAGTTGGCGCCTTTATGATGAGGTCACCTTGTGCCACGCACGGGTGAGCCTGCGTCACCGTGCCCACTCACATCTGCTCCGCTCCTGCTGTGCTGAAGGCGCCTTGGTCACTCGGACTCAGGAGGGGCCTGAAGCTGGGGGGTGACTGATAAGGCGGTGAAGCCCCAAACACGAGTGCCTGGCACTGCCCTGCCTGACTCCCTGCCCGGCGTGGCCCTCGGTGGGGGACCTGGCCCACCTG